AGTTGGCTTATTCGAGCTTCTTGGTCCTTCTTGTCTGCTTTGGTGTCCTGCTGGAGCTGCGCGGTATTTGCTGCCAAGGATCTGATCTCCTGATGAAACTGAGTAGTAGTCGTGGCCAGGCTTTTGACTAGGTCCTCCAAGGAGCTTCCTGAATTGGAGGATGAGGGTTGCGGTTTCGATTGCCAAGGCTGGTGGAATCCTGGTGGACGATTCGGGAATGAACTTTGTTGCCTGTTCCCATAACTGAGATTGGGATGGTCTCTCCAACCGGGGTTGTATGTGTTGGAATACGGGTCATACTGCCTACGGGACGCGGGCACGCCTCCGGCCATATTTACCTGTTCCGCCCCGTCCTCTTGCAGAATGGGACACGTATCCATGCAGTGGTCCATGCTAGTACAGATTCCACACGCCTTTGCTCGCGGTGTGTCTCTCATGGCCAATTGCCTAACAGCAGACGTCAACTCTGACAGTTGCTGCTGGATGGATGACGCCTCTGCCTCATTGACTCTACGGGTAGGATTGCTCTCACGGAAGCCGAACTGCTGAAAGTTCTCCGCCATGGCTTCAATAAGCTCCCACGCTTCCCTTGGTGTTTTGTTCGCCAAGACTCCTCCACTCGCAGCGTCAATAATACTCCTGTCAGTTGACTGGAGCTCCTCATAGAAGTACTGGATCAACAGTTGTTCACTAATCTGATGCTGTGGGCATCTAGTGCACAACTTGTTGAACCTTTCCCAATAATCGTACAATGACTCTCCGGAATACTGCTTGATGCTGCATATTTCCTTTCTTAAACTAGCAGCTCGGGATGCGGGGAAGAATTTTTCCAGGAATTTCTTTTTCAATTGTACCCACGTGGTGATACTACCTGCAGGTAGGTAGTATAGCCAATCTTTCGCTGCATCCTTGAGAGAGAATGGGAAAGCTCTAAGTCTTATTTGCTCCTCAGTGACCCCAGGAGGTTTCATGCTAGAGCAAACTATTTCGAACTCCTTGACATGTTTGTGGGGTTCTTCACCAGAAAGACCATGGAACGAAGGTAGGAGGTGAATCAATCCCGATTTCAGCTCGAAGGAGGTATTTTCAGCCAGAGTTGGGAACGTGATGCATAAGGGCTGATGAGTCAGCTCCGGGGTAGCCAACTCCCTCAATGTCTGGGTGTTGGCCATGTTAAATTCGTCTTCTACTGACTCGTTTGCAGAAAATAAGTGCCCTTCTTTTCGTCTCTTGGTCTCTTGCCTTCGCCTACGCGCTGCCTTCTCAACCTCAGGATCGTATACCAAGTCACCTGTGCGAGAAGAACGGGGCATAAACTAGCAAAAATACCAAGAAGAAGAAAAATAAAATAAAACAAAATAAAAACTGAATTAAAAAAGAAGCAAATAATTCAAATGCCAGTCCCCAACAATGGCGCCAAAAATTGACAGGTGGCGAACCTGTGCAATAATAATAAATAAATCCTAACTACCACCTAAAACAGTCAGTAATCAATTCGAGTACTGGAGCAGGGACTCTAGGTGTGCAATGGGTTACTTGATTCACCCTGTTCCCGAAGAGTTTGCTTAATCCGATATACCTGAATTAATTATTTAACTGAATTCTCTAACTATTAGACAGTGGTAAGCAGGGTCGTCTCCTCAGGGACTAGCAAGATATTTTGTTTCTTTTCAAGTCAAGATTAATGGGGGGGTTTTGGTATCAAATGCCAACTAAACAAATTAAATGCAGAAAATAATGAATTAAAAGAAATAACTAAGAGAAACTCTAGCCAAAGGAGTACTTCAGAAATGGTCCATACACTGATCATTGATGCAAAAATAATCCCAACATTTATTGATAGATTGGTTATAGTTGTCATGCACGCGATAAACAACCAACTCTTCCTTAATTTATCGACAGCTAAGGTACGACCGTTAGTTATTTCTCTAACCCGAAAACAACCCTAGGTACGACCGTAGGATTTAATTTTTAGATTGCATTATTAATTAGAAAGGCCCAATCCTAACTAACAAACACGCTACAAGGGTTTATTTAAGCCAGATCAAATATTTCCCTGACACAAATCCAATTATACCAGTTGCTACTGGGATAGAGATAACGAACAATTACGGATTCAATTACCCCTATATAGCAAAATAGCCTATGTGAATAATTAATTATTGCGCACTAACCAATCATACACAAGGCTATAGCGATTAAAAGCAAGGAACATGTAAATATCAATAAATGAAGAGAACAATTAACGATGGTTTAGATCTCACAGTATTAGTTGAACCAATTCATCAGTTGCCCCCTTGTCTAGAATTAGCGAATTAGCCCGCCATTAATGAAGGACAAACCGCGCGTGTGGAAGGGGGAAAGGTTCGCAAGTCGGTTCTCCCACTCCGGTCAACCCCAGGAGGAAGAAACACAAGATTTTATCGCCTCCAATTGTCTCCAAAAAGAACAACGCAAACGAGGGTCTGAGGCCCTATTTCAATGTCGGTCAAAACCAATTGGAAAGCAAAGCTAATAGTTAACAATTGCGGCCCTTATTTTCTTTTCCCAATTGCTGAGCAAGATACACGAGAGAAAAGGTTCCTCAATTGCTTGATTTCTCAATTTGTCAATTCAAAACATGAAGAGTTGGTTTCTCCCCAGTCAACAATAATGGCTTCCCCCCTTTTAAAGTGTATCCTCCTCGAAAACCTAAAAACCCAGCGAAGAAAAACTAACTACCGCCTCCTGTTGTCAACCGAAGTTCCAGGAAGGGATTGTTTCCTATCGCCAATTGTTGTGTTTTTCCTTTTTCCCCCCAAAATAGAAATAACAAGACTCCCTCAAATAAAAATAAAAATAAAGTAAAATCTATTACAATTAAATGTCTTCAGCTCCTCAAGCGGGCCCCATGTACGATGGATCTTCTAAAACTCGAATTTAAGCACTTTTCGTCATCCACTCCTGCAATTAGCACCAAAATAAAATATCAGTAGAATTCACCCAATTAACGAAAATATTTAGTCAATTAATTGTGCAATACTGCCCAAAATACCCACTAAAATGCACCCTATCATGAATACTATCATTTGAGTCTGTAATGGCATCTGACAATTTCACGTCAAGAATTACATCTGGGGCATCGGCTTCCTCGTCCACATGGTCGAGGACTCCAATGTCAAGTTCGAAACTGGCGATGGAGATATTTGACGGTACTAGCCATTTCGGCATGTGGCAAGACGAGGTCATAGACTCCCTTTTTCAACAAGGTCTTGACATTGCCATTGAAGAAAAGAAACCAGATGACATAGAAGAGAAGGAGTGGAGTACCATAAATCAGTTGCCATGCGAAACAATTCGATCGTGTTTGTCCAGAGAGCAAAAATATGCTTTCAAGAACGAGACTTCTACATGGAAATTGTAGAGGGCATTGGAAGAGAAATTTATGAAGAAGAGTGGTCAGAATAAACTCCTAATGAAGAAAATATTGTTCCGATTCGATTACCAACCAGATGAAGCGTTAGTGGCAAGAGGTCGTCAACAAAGTCAATCAAAGGGGAGAATAGGAAGGTCCAAATCGAAAAGTAGAGTTGTCAAAGGTGATTGTGCTTTCTGTCATGAGAAAGGGCACTGAAAGAAAAACTGTCCAAAATTGAAGAAAAAAGGGAAAACTCCGCAAGATGTAAATGTTACAGAATGCAAAAGTGATGCTGAATCAGATTTCTCTTTGACTGTATCACCTTTAACATCCCATCCAGATGAGTGGATTTTGGATTCAACTTGTACCTATCATATGTCTCCCATGCGGGAGTGGTTCTTTGAATTTGAAGAATTTGATGGTAGAGTTGTGTACATGGGAAATGACAATCTATGTAAAATAGGTGGGATAGGTTCAATCAAGTTGCGTAATCATGATGGATCCACTAGAATCTTGAAGGATGTTCGGTACGTGCCGAATTTGAAGAGGAATTTCATCTCCTTGGGACTTTTAGAGTCAAAAGGCCTGGAAGTGAAGATGCAATATGGAATTCTTAAAATAACTTCGGGAGTACTTGTGATGTTGAAAGGTGTGAGGAAGAATAATCTGTATTACTACTAAGGTAGTACAGTTGTTGGGACAGCAGCAGCAGCAACATCTTCCAGTAGCAAGAAGGATGCGGAGGCAACAAAGTTGTGGCACACGCGATTGGGACATCTGGTGAAAAATCCTTGCAAAATCTTGCCAAACAAGGTTGTTGAAAGGTAAAAAAGTTTGCAAATTAGAATTTTGTGAGCATTGTATTCTGAGAAAACAAAGCAGAGTAAAATTTGGTACTGACATCCATAATACCAAGAGTATTTTAGATTATGTGAACTCAGATATGTGGGAATCTGCTAAAACTCCATCCCTTGATGGCAGGTACTATTTTGTCACTTTTGTTGATGATTTTTCCAGAAGAGTTTGGGAGTTTACTATGAAAAACAAGGATGAAGTGTTAGGTATTTTCCTTAAATGGAAAGTTCAGGTTGAAAACCAGACGGGAAGAAAGATCAAGATCCTCCGAACAGACAACGGTGGAGAATACAAGAATGATCCCTTCCAGAAAATATGTCAAAAGTGTGGTATAGTTTGGCACTTCATAGTTAGAAGAACACCCCAGTAGAATGGGGTATCAAAGCGTATGAACAAAACACTAGTGGAGAAAGTACGTTGCATGTTGTCTAATGCTGGGTTAGGCAGAAAGTTTTGGGCTGAGGCTGTGACATACGCTCAACATCTCGTCAATCGCTTGCCATCATCTGCAATAGGTGGCAAGACTCCATTAGAGATATGGTCTGGAAAACCTGCAACAGATTATGATTCTTTGCGTATTTTTTGTTCTACTACATATTATCATGTAAATGAATCACAATTGGATCCACGAGCAAAGAAATCTCTCTTTATGGGTTTTAATGCTGGAGTTAAGGAATACCGGTTGTGATGTCTAGAAGCAAAGAAGACCATTATCAGCAGGGATATTACCTTTGATGAATCTGCCATGTTGAATAAGGTATCACAAGATGGGACCAGTGGTACTCCGCAACACATGGAGTGTATGCCGAAACAGGTGGAGTTTGAGTAAATAATGGTGAGCCCAGCAAACAGCACCATCAATGACTCTTCCATGGCAGAAGAAGAGTCAGATGAGGAAGAGATTTTAACCCAAGAACCTCAATAGCAGTAAGAGTCAATTGCCATTAATAGGCCAAGACAAGAAATTCAAAAACCTGCTCGTTTTGTTGACATGGTGGCCTATGCACTTCCAGTTGTTGATGATGTTCCATCCACCTTTTCTGAAGCAATTTGAAGTACAAAAATGATAGATGGAAAAATGCTATGGAAGAAGAGATGCAATTTTTTCAGAAGAACAAGACGTGGAAGTTAACACAACTACCGAAGGGTAAAAAGGCAATTGGATACAAATGGATATTTGCAAAGAAAAAAGGGTTACCTGACAAGAATGATGTTCGCTACAAGGCAAGATTGGTGACTAAAGGCTACGCTCAGAAGGAGGGAGTTGATTATAATGAGGTATTTTCTCTAGTTGTTAAAAATTCATCTATTAGAATTTTGTTGGCCTTGGTAGCACAGTTGAATTTGGAGCTAGCTCAACTTGATGTGTTAATCGCGTTCCTTCATGGTGACTTGAAGGAGGAAATCTATATGTCTCAGCCAGATGGATTCAAAGTTACTGGTAAAGAAGATTGGGTTTGTAAGTTGAGCAAATCATTGTACGGATTAAAACAATTACTGAGACAATGGTACAAACGATTTGACCAGTTCGTGATAGGCTAGAGGTACACAAGAAGAAAATACAATCACTGTGTGTATTTGCGCAAGTTACGAGATGATTCCTACATCTACTTACTCTTATACGTTGATGATATGCTGATAGCGTCAAAGAGCCAAGTTGAAATTGACAAATTGAAGGCTCAGTTGAGCAAAGAGTTCGAGATGAAGGATTTGGGAAAAACCAAGAAGATTCTCGGCATGGAGATAAGCAGGGATAGAATGAGAGGCAAGTTTTGTCTGACACAGAAGCAGTATTTGAATAAGGTACTACAACATTTTGGTGTGAATGGAGATTCAAAACCTATAAATACTCTGCTTGCTCCTCATTTGAAACTTAACAGCCTATTATCTCCAAAAACGGATGAAGAGTGAGTATACATGGCGAAAGTCCCGTATACTAATGCAGTTGGTAGCTTGATGTATGCAATGGTGTGTACAAGACCCGACATTTCACAGGCGCGCAGTTGGTGTGGTAAGCAGGTTTATGCATGATCCGGGCAAGGGCCATTGGCAAGCTGTGAAATGGATTCTACGATATATCCAAAATACCATAGATGTTGGATTAGTATTTGAGCGGGATGAATCACTTGGTCAATGTATAGTTGGATATTGTGATTCTGACTATGCAGGTGATTTGGATAAGCAACGTTCGACAACTGGCTACTTGTTCACGTTTGCTAAGGCGCCAATTAGTTAGAAGTCTACTTTGCAGTCAACGGTGGCTTTGTCTACAACGGAGGCAGAGTATATGGAGATTACAGAAGCTGTGAAGGAGGCAATTTGGCTTCAAGGATTGCTTGAAGACTTGGGAGTTGGTAAAAAATACATTAACGTGTTTTGTGATAGTCAGAGTGCTATTCACTTAGCAAAGAACCAGGTCTTGCACGTAAGAACGAAGCACATTGATGTTCGCTATCACTTTGTGCGGGAAATTCTCGAAGAAGAGGAGATTTTTCTCCAGAAGATTCGGACTACAGAGAATCCTGCAGATATGCTGACCAAGGTGGTTATAAGAGCCAAGTTTAAACATTGTCTAAACTTGGTTAACAACTTGCACATTTGAGTTGGCGCCTGAGGGCGCAAATTTGGAAGCACCATAAGGACCGTCTGTTAGTTTTTGTGTGAGAAGATTTGTATTTTTTGGGTGGGACTAGAAATTATGCCAAGGTGGAGATTTGTTGAATTCAAAGCCTAAATTATTGACTTTTTTCAAGTCACAATTGTTGAATTTGTGGCATCAATTTCTATCCCACATTGGTGGAATTGAGAGCTTGGGTAAGGGCTTGAGAGTTATAAATAACTCTCAAGCAAATCAATTCAATTACACCAACAAAAATAATTCTTTTGTAATTCTTTCTTCTCCTAAATTATAAGAGCAGGCTGCTTGAGCGGTGCTCGAAAATTAGGCAAAATTGGTCGAACTCCATTATCAATTTTTTGGGTACGTTCTTTCCTTATCTCTTTTATTTATTCCGCACTTATTTAGTAGTTTCTTTTCAATTGTAGTATAGTATTCAATATATATTTGTCGGGTTTATTTATAATGTTTTATACGATTCATTTGGGTGTATTTTCTTATTCGTGTGTACGTATTATTTATGTATACACGGGTCTAGTTGTAATAATACACCGTGCACGTAAATTCTGTCTAGGAGACTAGGTTTTAAGTGGGACCGCTTGTGACTTCTCCAGCCTTTCCTGGGAATTTATTTGGAATGGTAATTCTGTCTAAGGAGATTGTTTTGACGATCTTTCCTGGGAATTACTGAATCGGTTTAAATCACTAGTTGAATTTTTGAGTGAAAAATTACCCGGTTTCCCCAACAGCCATGAAAAGAATTAACTGGTATTGAAAAGACATGGAGAGATGATATGTTATAAACAGATGCAGGGATCCTACCAGATAATTGGTTTACTCCCATTCCTAATGAATGCAATTTTTTTACGAAGCCTATCTCCTTGGGCAGATTACGCTCTAAATTGTTATATGCAAGAAAGAGAGTTGTCAATGATGAAAGATTTCCGAGGGAGGAAGGAATCTCTCCTGTCAAATTGTTCTTAGAAAGATAAAGGTTTTCAAGCTTCTTCAATTTGCTTAGCTCAATTGGAACTTTTCCTTCAAGTTTGTTGTTCGTAAGCGTAAGGCTTAACATATTTGAGCAGTTGCATAGACTAACAGGGATCTCTCCGCTCAGGAGGTTATATGATAGGTTAAGAAAACTTAGACGGAACAGATGACCAACCTCTTGTGGAATTTCACCATGGAACTGATTTTCCTCCAGATGGATGGATTTCATGAAGCTGAGATTTCCTATATGAGGAGATATGGTTCCAAACAAACTCCAGCCTGTTAGAGTTATGGCTGTGACCCTCTGATGTCGACTATCACGTGATCCCCGGCCATTGGCAATGGTGTCGTGTTTGGTTCCACGAGTTCAAGACAGCATGTGGATCATCAGATATCTGACTCTTGAACTCCAGCAGAGCAAGTCTATCAGTTTCATTTTGAGCATTCCGTCAAGAATTGTATTTAAGCAGGACGGAATTTACAGTTTAAAGAGTAAAGTGTAGTTTAAGGATGAAAAAGGTAGTCGGAGTAAAGAGTGCAAAATGGAATTAACATAAGTAAAAATTAAAATAACGGTGTTATTTCAAACAAGTTGAAATGAGATTGTTTAATTAACAAATTATTATTGGCATATAAACAAGCAGGTTTTTAGATACTTGCAAAGTTTGATAATTAAATTCAAAGTCAGACGATGTGGCATACCTCTAAACTCGTAAATGTATATGTTAACAGTGTAGAAAAGATTAAATACTTAATGATATTATCAAAGCAACAAAGTGTACCTTCATGTAAGTTGGTATTTCACTTTGCTTCATAAACCAATTTTGTCAAAACATTCCCTCAAAAGAAAAAAAAAAAGGAAAGTTTTGTCAAAACATTGCAGTTTGCCCCCTATACACTTTTTTGCTTTTCCTTTTTCCCTGCTAATGGAGTCTCTTATTACTACGATGGTAGAATGTTCCCAATTGAATAGGAAAGTCCAAGGCAGGTCTCAATCGAGTATTGATGCAAATAGGCCACAGTAGTCGCAAAATTGTCAAATGGCAGTACATCCTAAGACGCATGGTCCCTTTGATCATTTAAAAGACAGCTATATTATTAGTTTGCTTAAAGGGACATTCCACCGAACACGGGGGCCGTTAAACTGAAAAGTACTACAACTTGAACGGTTTGGGCATGAGAACGTGTAATGTTTTGAGTTCAAATTTCTCTTCTTCATTTCTGTTTCTTAAATTTTATCTTTATTTTGCTAAAGAAAATTTTTTAGAGAACTACTACATTTTTAAAACTTAGGATTCTAGCAACTTATGCATAATTTAGACTAGTTTCTAGTACAAATTCTCTTCATAAAAGAGTCGAACAATTGCTAAATTGCTAACTGAACTCGGTACTAGACCTTTTTTTTTTTTTTTTTTAAAAGAACTCGGAACTAGACCTGAAGCCTATGTGATCTTTCAAATTTATGTGTACCAGCTTACAAAGGTAATCCATTGTTGGTGTATTGTCTTTTTAAAGGTAATCCATTGTTGGCGTATTAAACCACTTGTTAAAATATAATGAAAAACAAAGTAAATATTTCTCCATTATTGTCATGTCAGAACTAAATTTCTCTAATGGATATTTGCTTATTAGTTTCTCAGACCTACAATTTCTCAATCATTGTCAGATTAAAATTTTTTTTTTGGATTTGAACTAGTTTTAATCAGATTTGATTGTCAGAAGATATGCATTCGAATGCAAGATATACAGAAGCACCAATGTTACCTTTATTTATATTGATTTTCTAGATTATTGTATCTATTGATTTTAGGTCTTAATGCATATCTATGTGTGCATATATTTTTCATCAATTGCATTGTATATTTTCACGTTTTTAAAGGTTTAACACCTGAGTCCTCTTTTAATTAGAATTAATTCACACAGCATAAAAAGTAAAAGGATGAAAGATCTTTCAAAATACATGAAAAAAATAAAAGAAAAATAAATGAAAGATCATCAATTGCATCATTTATTTGTACCTCTGTGAAAGTAACAACTTCAGTTGTATCTACCTAGTTACATGTATTCATGCATTAAACTCCACAAAAAAATCATATTTAGATTTTTAGGAACTTCACAATTTATGGGTGGCCAAAATTAAATTAAGAAACTGTTACTAATTGAGTACAACTATGAAGAGGGGAGGAGGGATGAGTTGGATGGATCGAAAGAAGGAATGTAAGTGAAAGATTCATAATTCGAGTCCTTTCACTCACACTATAAATAAGCAAATAAATAAATATAACTATGAATCACACTGCACTGCAAATAACTGGTGGATATGGGATGTTGATTTAGGAGTAAGCCGGCCAATGAAGGTAGTACCAAGAGGTGGAATAAGTAGGGAATTGGCACTAGTTTTTCCAGGACCATAATTTAATTATAAGAATTGTTACGGATCATCCACCAATTCAATTCTCACCTTAGCAGCGAAACTCAAACATACAACCTTACCTAGGCAACATGTGGTGCCATAGGAAACATCTATTATAAATATCTAGTCTGACGATTTCAGAAACTTGTCATTGGGATCTCTTGCAAAACGTCAGGATGTCCTGTGGTACAAATTGCACTATGTTGAGATGAAATAATGTAGGTGGAAGTTCTAGGTGATGCATTTATATCGCCCTGGCAAGTGAAAATGGTTCTATCTGCGAAAATATCTAAATTGAACTTGGCTACCTCAATGCATGTTTGACATTTCTACCAACTTACAAAAAAAAAAAAAAATCATAACTTCTGCTACATGAATATATTTGTTAGGTCTGATTTCAGAAAATTGAACAAGAAGAATAATAGTATTCTTTGCAACTCAATAATGACAATAACATAACAAATAAATCAAACAGAGAAATACGAAATTTATGTGATTCGGTTCAATTGACCTACGTTCACGGGCGAAGAGGTAGCAGATTTACTATAATAGAAAGAAATACAAAAGAGAGAATACAAAATCCTAAGAAATAATTTTGAGACTCAAAAGGCACCTAAAACTAAAAACACGAAAGAGTTTAAATAGCACAAATGCCCATAACTTGCTCTATTGGTTTGATACTTAACCAAAACCTCTTTGTGACTGGGACGTGGGTTCCCTAAAACTCTCTTGGAATGATGCATATGGCACTTGGACTGATGCCCTCAACACAATTAGGCTCATTTAAGTGCACTATATTTGTAACTACCAAGAGGAGATATTTTTTTTTTGTAAACTTTCAATATGGGATACAAAAACAAATTCAACAAATCTCCACCTTGCCATGTATCCAACATCGACAAATAGCAAATAAGTTCCACATTTTTCATAAAAGTCCCAACAGATCTCAACAAACCACCAAAATTCCAACAGACCCCAACGAGCCACCAATGAATCAAGATGCAAAAAATTCAACAGGTCCTAACGGATCAAAACTCACAAGAGGTTCAACAAATCCCAATGGGTTAAAAATCATGAATATAATCTTGCTCCACCTTCTTTTCAAAACCCTCAACGAGTTCCAACGGGTCAAATAATTCTTCTTCAAAACTCAACTGAACTCCAACGGAGAGTTTTTTTTCACTCTCTATAGCACAAAATCAATATCCTAGAATTGATATTGAAGAACCCAAAACCTGAAACCAGAAGTTCTGATACTAATTTGTTAGGTCTGGTTCCAAAAAATTAACTAATGAAAATAATATGATATTTAGTAACTCAATAATGACAATATATAACAAATAAATCAAATAGAGAAACACAAAATTTACGTGGTTCGGTCCAATTGATCTACGTCCACGGGCAAAAGGGTAGTAAATTTACTATAATAGAAAGACAGTACAAAAGAGAGAGTACAAAATCTTAAAAAATAATTTCGAGACCTAAAGGGCACCTAAAATTGAAAATATAAAAGAGTTTAAATAGCACTAAATGTTTAATGGTCCAAAGATCTATGATTTGCTCTTTTGGTTTGATGCCTAACCAAAACCTCTCTGTGACTGGGATGTGGGTCCAAAAACTCTCTTGAACTAGTACATATAGCACTTGGGTTGGTGCCCTTAATACAATTAGACTCACTTAAGTGCATTATATTTATAACCACCAACAGGAGATATTTCTTTATAAACTTTTAATGTGGGATATAAAGACAAACTCAACAATATTAGGTGATATTCTCAATCAATGACTTTAAAACCATCACGTCAGACTAGCAATCTGACTTTTTGAAGGTAGTCAAACTGGAAATTTCATCACATAAGCTACTACATCTTTTGAAAACCAAGAAAACTATGGATGTTAGACTTTTTGCTCAATTGGAGGACATCCATACATTAAGATTACTGTTTTTGAAATGCTCATTTATTTTGTTCTCAAATGAGAGCAGTATAAGAGGTAGAATGATTAACAATTATGCTGTTAGTTTAACACAAGATGAAGAATGCTGGTTTTCTCCATGTCTTAGTACACATTTATAAAGTTCAATATGAGTCTTTGCTCAAGAATTGTACAGTTTAACTCTCAATCAATAAAAATCTATCATTTCAATAATAATAGAAAAAAAAGACTAGCAATCTGACTCAATGACTTCACGCAAGGCAAGTGCCTCACAGCCACTGGAATACTCTCCTTTGAAACACATGATTAAAAGAGTTTAGATTTTGCTAAAGTTTTATAGGATTTCTGTAATTAATGAAAGAGTACTACTTCGCTGATTTTTTCCTCTCTTTTATTTTTTAATCAAAATTTGATTTTTTGAAATTCTTATTTTGAAGCAAATAATAAATTTTACTAACAAAAACTTAAAGATGTCCATTCTCTAATTTCTGATTATGGAGAAAATATATAGATTTTTTTGCATAATTAGTTAATTATAAATCAATATTAGTTATTCTCTAATTTAACAAAAAATCCGTATTCTATTTTCCTTTAATTGGACAACACTAAGTCAACTACCCATTGTTTTATAATCACACATTCACATTTTGGACATTTTTTGTTTTTTTTTCTCGAATCGATATTTGCTTATTAGGTTTTTTTTTTTCTTTGCCTTTTTAAAGGTAATCCATTGTTGGTGTATTTCCTTTACCACTGTCAATTACAACAGTTAAAATTAAATCACATGTTCAAATTCAATTTTAAAAAAGGGAAGCAAAAATTTCTCCATTATTTTCAGATTTAAATTTCTCTAATGGGTATTTGCTTATTAGTTTCTCAAATCTACAATTTCTCCATTATTATCGAATCTAAATTTGTCTTTGGATTTGAACCAGTTTTAATTAGATCTGACTATCAAAAGATTTGCGCAAATGTGTGGGATTACAATGATTCATCCGAATGCAAGATATATAGAAGCACCAATATTATCTTTATTTATATTGATTTCCTAGATCTATTGTATCTATTAATTTCAGATCTAAATGTATCCGTGTTATGTTTGTTTAATTTATTTTCTATCATTAGTGCAGATTTATTGAATGAAATGATCTTTTTTTATATATAAAAAATGTATACTACTAAAATGGATTCAAAAAAATAATGTACAAAAACATAATAAATTTTTTCATTAATTAAAAATTGTGTGGAACAATCAACAACGTTTAACTAAATTCGAGCTACATTTATATTGTATATCTATGGCATCACGCCATAAAAGAAAGAATCAACTTTTTATGCACTGATAGTATAACAATTTTTTTTACAAATGTGTATCACATATACATGATTTAAACTTCAAATTTGAATTCATGTTATGTGACATATTCTAAAACTACTAGTGTAAAACAAATTACATACTGATAATGTATAAAATAGTTATCCTAAAAGAAAATGCAAACCAAAGGAAACCATCACGTCAGGCTAGCCGTTTGAGGCTATGACTTCGTGCAGCCTCAGAGCCAATAGACTCTCTTTTGAAACACATACATCAAAAAGGTTTATAATGCAAAATGATGAATTATCTTTAAAGATTACTGGATTTCTATAAATTAATGGAAGAGTAATATTAGTAGGGAGAAGTTTATCAAGTTTGTCCTGTGGTTTTTGACATTTTCTCTTGGGTCCCTTGTAGTTTTGAATATTATATCTACTCTCCTAATTTTCATTTTCAATGTAACAATGTCAGCCCTTACCTATAAAATATTAATATGAAGTGCTACAATTTATTTTCATTTCCAAATTACCATTATAAGGCGTATAGGTAATTGATGTAACTAACTCAACAAAAAAAAAAACTTGAAAATGCACCAAAATAGTTAAAAGAAATTTATAACGAAAAATCATGTATGGCAGGCTAAAAGAGTTAAATAGGTTGTAACAAACAATAGAGGGAAATGATATCAAATTGTTGATGTTTGAAATACGTAGGTTTGCAAGAAATTGAAATAGAAAATTTAAGTTTAAAAGGGCTTGAAATTTCAAAACAAAAAAGGGAGCAAAATATATTCCATTAGCAGTGATGTAGCAGTTTGTGAAAATGAACGTCTTAATCATTAATATCTTAAGGTCATCTTATTTCCTTTTTATTGTATTTTCCAAAGTCCTTCAATTGAGTTTAGTTGACTTTATGAGTATACAAGGGTAATTTGCAAAAGAAATGCCTTTTAGCAAAGTGAAATTGTAAAAAAACCTCAAGGAAGGCTTCTGAAATTATCCCTTATTGGTATTACAAGTAATAAAATGGCATTTCTGTAATTGATTGAAGACTGTGAATATTAGTTACGAGATAACCAACAAGTCTGGTTATAAATTATAATGCACTGTTATGGATGCTGAAACTGTCCTATGTACATTACATTACTTCTTATTCATTTGGAGGAAAGGATCATGATCTGAAACGAAGCCAAGTGCTAGAAGATGGCTGTGAAATGGGAAGCACGGTTAGTTGCGGGGCAAATCTTTCTTCAATTGAGTTAAATCAGCGTTCGACAAAGTCAATTTCTGTAAGCATCATATGATGCCGAATGTCCTAATCGAGTACATTACATGAATTTGTGGCAAGATTAATCTGAAACTGCTTTCTTTGGAGTAGCAACATTTGTAGCAATATATAATTAATTCATTTGTAGCAATATATAATTAATTTTTTTTCCCCTGCAGAAAAATGACATGCCTGTAATCGTAGACTCTGAGGGTGTAGGAGACATGGCGCCCTTTTTTTTTTTTTTTTTGGAAAGGGACATGACACCTTGTGCTTTCCAGATTCAACACAAAGATATTGGAAGTTGATGTAATTGATACACAAGTACATAAAAGTGCAGAAATTTGTATTGCGCAAATTTCATTAAGAAAGTGAGGTTGAAGATAATGATCTTGAGGCGTATTTGATATTATGCTTAAGATGTTATTTGTTCCAACTATATAAAGTATTTGCTACAAGTTATAGCAAATTATCTATAAAATATAATAAGATTTAGAGAAACTTGATAGCAAATTTCAAGTATTCTTTTACAAAAAAAAAAAAAAAAAGATCAAGATTTTTTTTAATTTGCCAATGCTTGTCATTTTTATAGGAAAAGACATAACTCAACAGTCACAAATTAATCAGCCACAATCTCCGACGTTTACGGGCATTAAGAGATAGCAATTAATTTTCAAAAATGTTTCAGAAATTTTTTTCAGCTTTTAAGAAGAATCCACAAACAGATCCACTTCCCATAGCCGCGGGTCCCATCGCAAATCCACCGTGTTGACTAACCTTTTGTTTAGATATGTCTAAAAATTTTTACTTTCTTCGTTTCAACATGTCTTATTTCTATTTTGTTTCACAACCTATTCCAAGTATTTCTATTTAGGGATTAATAAATATACAGACCTTACTAAATCAAACAAGTATTTTGACACATTCCTTAAATTTCTTTTACTGGTGAACCCTTAATTATAACTCAAATAGGATCTTAAGCCCCACCTTATTGGCCAGACTTTGTGATATTGTGATGGAATGGACACATGGGCTCCAAAAGAAATTTGGGTTTATGACATTTACGTACCATGAATTGATACCTTACCCAATTTGTCCTTCTCCCGAAATTTGACCCTAAGTTGGGCTGCCAGGGCCAGAGAACGCGACTTGCACATAGATAAATTGTTCGGTCAAAAATCCTTTTCCCTTCTGAGATTTTTTTGTTGGCAGTTCCTCCAATTATTTAATATTTTATCTTTTTTTTTAATTTCTCCTTCCTCTTCACTTCCTTCTTTAACTTTTCTTTTAACCCGATATTGCCTAGATTACTTACTAGGCCCTACTAACATTTTACGTTCAAAATCATCAAGATATGGCATAAAAGTATGAGCCCCACCATGGCTAGATCCTTAGTTTTAAGGGGCAAGGTGACTTAATTGAGCAATATATGGATATGGTAATAAGGGAACATATGAATTTATTGTACAATTGATCCTTACCTTTTATCCCCTTATGTTGTTCCCATTGTAACTGAAATTTCATATGGTAACAAAATCAAAATTCAAAGAAAGTGGGAGCAAGACTATGCATTGTAAGTATAATGCATTGCATATTATTCAAGCACTAGATCCAAGCATAATATGGAAGCATTAAGATGTTCAAGTAGAATTGAACCAATTTACTGCCTCCCAGAACATCTAATTCTTAAAAAGAAAGACTACAGGAATATGTTTGAATCATCCATTTATTTTTATTTTCAAATAAAAAGCCAAAGGTGTCTTCTTCATTAGCTCTCCCAATGAACAACTTCAGCTTGGAGATTCAGAACTGTAAGCAGCTGCAAATCAAGAATTCATGCATTAGAATGAGAAGCCATCTTTTTCCATGGTAGTGAGCACAACACGCAGCTTTTGCTTTTGTTTTTTTTTTTTGGACTGGAATAGATTTTGAATGGTAGAACGAGTTAGCTTGCAAACTTATGTCAAGAATAAAATTCTTTACCTAATATAGAAAAAAATGGACTTCAACTTGTGGGCTGTATTAAATTCTTGAGTATACCTGTAGATATTAAGCTTCAAAATTTTCTTGATGCACCCTGACACCAAGGAAAACATCCTTAATGAGATGTAATTTTCTGACAACTTCATTCATATGCATCCTGTCATTTGGTAATCTTGCAGAGCACTTAAGTCCAATTTTCAGCAGGGAAATAATGCAATCAATCTCTCTTCCACCATTAATGGTTTCCCCTCCAGGAGTCATATTTCTGTTTTCATCTCCTTCAAGAAGAAGCAACGAGTCCACGATCTCAGAAACTTGTTCATGCAAAGCCCCATTAACATAGTTATGCAGATCAAGGTCACCCACGAATATATCATCTGTTGGCCTCCTTCCTGTAATCATCTCTAGCAAAAGAATGCCGTAGCTGTAGACATCCCCTTGAGTTGATGCCACAAGACCCATTCCATACTCTGAGATTTTGTTTCTAGACATGTCATTATTGGGTGGTAAAAGAAAAACTATATAAAAAATATAAGTGATTAAAATTAATCAAATGTTAGATTGGGGCACAATGGACCTTCTTTTATAACTAAGTGACTTAACTAAAATTAGCTACTATGCATCAGTGATTAGAGATCTCATATTAATTATAATAAAAAAATTAAAAAGAATTAAATGTCCCAAAAGTTCTATATTTCTGTGCACCAAAAAAAGGTTGTAACTGATAATTACCTGGAGCTGCATAACCGATTGATCCTTTTATGGCAATAGTACTGCTGGTTCTTTGCTCGGAAGAAGTGTTGACGGGTTTTGGGAGAAGCCTTGCCAATCCAAAATCACCCACATGAGCAACGAGATCATTGTCAAGAAGAATGTTACTTGGTTTTAGATCACAGTGAACAATCTCAGCTTCGCAGTGGTTCTGAAGATACTGCAATGCTGAAGCTACATCAATTGCAATGTTCAGCTTCTGAGAAAGATTAAGACTTCTTGAGCTTGTTGCCTGATCAGTTGTCTCTGAAGGATGCAGCCACAGGTCCAGATTTCCATTTTCCATGAACTCATAGATTAGAGCTTTGAATTCATCACCCTTGGAATCAATACTAGAGCAATAACTCACGATAGAAACGAGGTTTCTATGGCGAATGTTTCGCAATGTTTTGCACTCGGCCTTAAAACTTTTGGAAGCGCCATTCTTTCGAAGATCGAGAACTTTAATTGCTACAAGCTTGTTGCCATGTTTTTCTAGCCTTCCTTTGTAGACAGATCCAAAATTTCCTGAACCAATTAAGTTTTCTGGTGAAAATCCAGAAGTTGCACGAAGAAGTTCATGGTAAGAAAGCCGCAAGAGCTCATCGATTCTTGGGGGCATGCTAGAGAATCCTGCCACCATTCTTCTTTCTCCTTTATGATATACCAAGAAATATAACAACATTGCACCGAGAACCAGAAGCGCTGTTGGTAAAACAATGGACAGCAATATGATAACCTTCAGCTTTCCTCTGTTTTTCCCCTTAATCACTGGGCAAGGTGGGAACTCCAATTCTGGAATGCCTCCACAGAGTTTGTTGTTGCCAGTCAATGATATTTGACTTGCATTACTGAAAATTCCAGTGTTTGGTATCTTGCCCTCGATGTCGTTGTAGGAAAGGTTTAAGTAGCTCAAAGAGTGAAGCTTCTCAAGTTCTCTGGGTATTGGACCGGTCAAGTTATTACTTGAAAGGTCTAATTGCTGGATGCTCTTCCAAGAAGCCAAATTTGGTGGAATTGGTCCTTGGAAAAAATTGGCTTCCATATAAAGATTCTCCAGATCTGAACAGTCAGCAAGTGAGATGGGTATAGCTCCAGCAAGTTGGTTGTGGGAAACCGAGAAATTCACCAAATGTACAAGCTTTCCAACTTCAGGAGGCAGAGAACCAGTGAAAGAATTTTCACTTAATACCATAGCAATCAGTGATGAGTGCGTCTGCAGAAAATGTGGTGATATAATTCCAGTGAAGTTGTTTTGAGATATATCCAGATATTGCAAATTTTGACAGTTCATAAGAACATTGTCAAATATATAGCACCCTTCAAACTGGTTAAATGATAAGTCCAGATAGAATAGATTGGTGTTGTTGCATAGGGTAGAGGCTATCTGTCCTGAAAATTGATTATTGTCAAAACGCAATCCTTGCAAATTTGGTAACTTGCCAAAATCTCTTGGAATAATCCCTGAAAAAGAGTTCAATTCAAGGCCAAGTTGAATTAGGTTGACAAAGTTTCCAAATCCTTGTGGAATGGTTCCTGACAGTTGGTTTGCTCCCACGAACAATTCAGTGAGTTGATTTGAGAGATTGGCCATGATTTTAGGTACATTACCTCCAAGTTTATTGGCACTCAAGGAAAGAATTCTTAGATTACTGCAGTTGGTCAGTGATGCAATAAAATCCAAGTCTCCTGTAGAATTATTGCCGAAGAGATTATCACTAAGAGATAAAAAATTAAGTTGTGTCAGATCTCCTAAATTAGTTGGAATTTGGCCGGCAAACTTATTGCTGGAAAGATCAAGTTCCTCAAGCCCAGAAGCATTGGTGATTGAAGTTGGAAAGTTTCCATAGAACTTGTTTCCCCCAAGAAGTAATTCTTCCAGATTTGGTAGGGTGAGACCTATGTTGGTTGGGAGATTGCCATGAAAGGAATTGTCCGCCACTGAAATGGCAGTAATGGCTGAACTATTAAAGATAGAGGCAGGGATTATACCAGAGAGTTTATTTTCTGCTGCTGCAAAAAAAGATAACCCTTTTAAGAGCCCCATTTCCATGGGCAAATTTCCCTCCAGATTGTTATAGCCAAAATCGAGTTGAGTCAGCCATGATAAGTTACCAATGGAGGAGGGAATCTCTCCTGTCAAATTGTTTGTGTAAAGAAAAAAATTTTCAAGCTTCTTCAAATTGCTCAGCTGATCAATCGGAATTTTCCCTTCTAGCTTGTTGTCATGTAGGCTAATAGTTACCAACTCTGAGCAGTAGCTCAGGTTTGCTGGGATTTTTCCACTGATTGCGTTACTTGTCAGGTTCAAGACTCTTAGCCTGAGAAGGCGACCAAATTCTTGGGGAATCCCACCATGGAATTGATTCTCCCCAAGTTGGATGAACCTCATGAAGCTTAGATTTCCGACCTGAGGAGATATAGTTCCAGACAACTGCTTATGCCTTAGAGTCAAGGCCATGACCCTTTGATGTCGGGCACTGCATGTGACTCCTTCCCAGTGACAATGGTGCTGTGAGTGGTTCCAGGACTTTAGCACTCCAGACGGATCATCGTATATCTGATTCTTGAATTCAAGCAGAGCAAGACGATCGGTCTCATTTTGAAATTGTTTAGAAGCTGAAACATGGCTTACTGAAAGGTTCATGGCAACTGAGAGGAGGAGAAAAATGCCCACTAATGTTGATGAGCGAAATCCCCACATGGTATTTGGAATTTCGATGAGCAGTGAAGGCAAAGATGGATTAATTTGCAACAAATTGGTGATAGAATGATAAAAGTTTCTGCGGAATGGGAACAATGTTTTGGCTGTTATAGAATCTTGCATGTAGCCCACACAATTGGAACTAATGGGACTTAATTTTCTAGGTATATTCTTGGAGCTAAACCTCGTTGTCAGAACTTAATAGAGAAATGGTCAGTAAGCTTCCACCAACTTGCAATTTACGCATATCGACCAACTTGCAATACTTTTCAAAGCTGGGATTAATGTGATCATCTACCAGAGATGATGATTAACAGGAAGCCTGAATTTGTGTGGAGTACTTGATCTTCCCAATTAACACAAATCACAAGAATCTTGATATTATTAGGTGATGTTCCCAATTTTCCCCCTTTTTATGTTGTTTTAATGCCATTTTCTCAAAAAAAATTTAATTTTTTTTAAAAAGAAGGGATTTTTTTAATGTTATAATTTTTAGTTTTTTCTTTTTTTATGTTGACTTAATGTCATATGTGTAGGGTGAATTCTTATTTTATGATGGAAAAAAAAAAGAATTCTACAACAAGGGCGATTGTTGGAGTTGTTTCTACAAATGAGGGTCTTCGCATTCTGAGAATGCGAGCTCATTGAGCTCGCATTTCACGAATGCGAGCTCCAATGTGAGCTCGCCGAATGCGAGCTGTGTTTGGAAAAAAAAAAAAAAAGGCTTGAGACTTGGGGCTACTGACTATCTTGTGAAGCCATTACACACAAAGGAGCTCTCAGAATTGTGGATGCATATGAAGAACAGGTGCATTATTTGTGTTATATGTTATCATACTTAATTGGTATAGAAGCGTTCTTTTCAAGAATATAAGTTTGAAATCTTTCTTTTTTTTTTTGGGTTTTATTTCTTCTTTGCAAGAATCAAGATCCTAAAGGTGTCTAAAATATGCTGCAATATTTGCACTCTGACAGGAGGAGTGAAGTTCTACAGGGATGCTGTTCAAAGATTAAGCAGATCAACATATAATCACAGGATGAAAAACATGCCGAAGTTACTTTTTCACAGCTCTATTACTTGTGAAATAATCGTCATCTTAATTATTGCAACAAATATAAAGATCTATCCACAATAACTTTAACTTATGTAGTAATGATTGTATTGATTACTTCAGCCTCCAGAATACAAAAACTTTCACTGCCATGCGGACTTTGATGTTTTAGTCCTGGTGATGTTTTGGCCTTAGGTTGAATACAACAATCATTTAGGCGTCTCGAGTCAATTTGTAATATAAAGCATTCTGTAAGCAACTTCTGGGCTCTACTGAGCTCGCATTCCAGAAATGCGAGCTCTGCTGAGAGAGCTCGCATTCGTGAAATGCGAAGACCCTCCGACGGATTCTCTCGCCAAAATCAGCCCTTTTGTAGAATTTTTTTAAAATTCATCACAAAGTTAGAAATTTCTCCATATGTGCATGTAGGGAAAAAAAATTAAAGTAATGTTCCAATGCTATCCCTAAAATCTATATCAGATTGTCATTTTAGAATGTGTGATAGACAAGAAAAAGTTTTTTTAAAAAAATAAAAAAAAGAAACATGAGAGATGAAACAATTTTGGTGGTCCCAAGATTTTTAATGAAAGGGAAAATTACTTGGTGAAGACTATCATTTATGGTCCGCAGCTGGGAAAATGGTTATTGGTCCTTTACGTATCACCGTCTATCAATTTGGAAAAAAGGGTTTTACGAATGATGACAAACATGAATTTGAAAATCAGATCACAGATGTATAGCGTTTCTGTCGAGTTTGCTCTTTTTGCTTTTTTTTTTTTTTTTTCAAGAAATCCACCTTGGGATGGCGGAGATTTTGCATGTAATCCTTCCAGTTTGCTGAGAAATAAATGAAAATAAAAGCCGAATTTTCCAAATTACATTTCAATCTTCTCGGTGACCAGGGGCCTTGGCTTAGCAACGAGACCAAGTCCTGATCACTTGTTCACGCTGCTATTTCTTCTACCTGTGCATTTACTTATCTATTTATGTTTTCTTGTCGTACATTTTTCTTATTTTTTCCTTTTAATTGAACAATAAAGTCCATGAAGCCAAGTAAAATTAATTACGAAGTTCTTTTCATTTTCTATTTTTGTTGTTCATCAATAAAGAGAGGGTCAGTTTTAGTCAAAATCCTACTGTTTTAAATCTTGAAAGATGCATTAATTATCCACTAAATCATAAGCTCATTCTCATTTAGCAAACAACTCCCCATTCAGCGGTAAACTCAAAGCAGAAATTTTTCCAAGTAACATATCACTGTTAGACAGGTTTTTCTTCAGAATTTTGATGTATTTTTAAAAAAGGTTATGACTCTTTTCCCCGATGATGATATGATAATAATAATAATGGTAATAACCCCAATGAAGCCAAACATAAGCCCCGTTTGATAAGTGAGTTTTTTGGGAGTTTGTAAAAAATTTTACTGTAATTTACTGTAGAATTTGTAAAAAAACTTTTTGAAGTATGTAAAAATTTCTTTAAGAAAAGAAAACCTTTCCTCTTTTTTCCCCTTTTTCTCTGCTTCTTCTCCCCCACGCCAAGTCAATATTTTTGTGGTTAACCATTTTGTACTTGCACTGCTGGATCATCTTTCTTCCTCATGCACAAATTTTTTCTCATTAAGATGGTAACAAGATGTACTGTTGATGAATCATTTTCAGGTACAGAAGATCCTTAGCCACGGAACGTCTATTCATTGTTATTGACAAAGTGATCATGAGTTAAAAGCTACTCAGCAGTTCAGATTAGATAAATTCAACGTATTTCATGCACTCAAGTCAATATTTTTGTGGTTAACCATTTTGTACTTGCACTTGGTGTGCAACTTGATTTCTGGTTAACGTTCCTCATTTGATTGCTAGATTCTAGATCAGGACCATGGTTTTCAAGCAATATGGTCTGTTGGGGAAATGAGAGAAATATTTTTTGAATAATTATTCTTGACTAACATCCGAAATTGTTGATCATATAATAAAGGGTTAATCACAAAAACTTCCCTCAAGGTTTAACTAGTTTTGCACTTTATGCTCTAACGTTATTTGTTCCTCATTTTTGTTCCTCATTTTATCAGTAAATCATTAGTCAACTCCAACATTGCGTAACCAAAATGTCAAAAAGATATTGATACCCTTAAGAGTTAATTGCAGTAAATCCCCTTAAGGTATAGTTATTTTGACCTTCACCCTCTAATATCATCTTTCTGTTAATTTGTCTACTTGTCCCTAAAATCATTAGTCAATTCTAATATTTTGTACCACTCAAAACAAATAATGTCTAAAAAAAAAGTTACTCAAAAAATAGTCTCCACTTCACTGAAAAACTTGTTAGAAAGGATCAAATAGTTGCTGTTGACTTACTTTTTAAGTCTATAATTTTAAGCTTGTATTTTAGTACATTGCATGTCTTTTCTGCAAGGATTAGAAGACTTGAGTCTGTTGGTGTAAATACCACGAAGATGAACAAAGAAAGAAAAGGTTTCAAATATAAACAAACTAATGGATAATCCACCCACCTTCTTAATTTTAGGAATTTTCATGTTTGTATTTATCGTTTAAAAATGTCGTGATTTGAAGTGACTTCTTTGTAGGTGGACTCTATTTTGACAGAGTTGATATTTTTATTATTTCATTTTACTTTATTTTTTTGTTCCTTGCGTACCCTAAGCATTATTTCAACAAGGCACTGGATTTTGTTGAAATAAATTACACTCTAACAAATACTTTGGGATGACATTATTGTCCGTTTTGCTTTGTTTTGGTCTTTTGCCTTTCTTTCTACTTCAGTTAAGAATCTCAATGTGTATGTATGGGAGAAGTGAGAAAGAAATTTCTCTATCCACAATTTTTGAACATACAGAAAATATTCAATTAGAGTGGCCCTCTTAGACTTTTCTCAAAGTTTTTTCTAACCCCTCATTTACTTCGTCAATATTAACCAATCCGAATACTCTCACAATTTCTATATTCGTGGCCCACAATTTGTTATTCTTTCATGTCTATGACAGTGAGTCTGCTAAATGACTTGTCCACTTCACTCAACGACTTGTTAGGAAGGACCAAACAATTCCTATTGACCTGAAAAGTAACTTGGCAAGCTACTGAACAAATTTTCGCAAGTTTCTTACACGAGAAGTGATAATCACCTGTTATCGTATCATTGGTCTTTCGCCTCGCCCCTGTAGTATAAGAAATTGTTTTTCTGTATAAAAGATATGTTAAAAAAATAGGAATTTCTATATAAAAGTCACAATAAAGATTAGGGTGTGAATATTTTTCTTTAGGAAAGATATTACTATAAAAAGTTTTAATTTGATGTTTAAAAGTTAAGGACATAAGTGTCTAACACATGTATAAAGTGTGAATTTAGCATGAAAGGGCTGTGAATTTGAGTTCTTCCTAAAATGAATTGAGTTAATTGAGAGGATAATAGTTTAGACTTGTTAACACTCTAAATTATCTAACACTCATGATATATTTAGAGGAAAAATCCAATACTAAATGACAATGATTTAATCAACAGAAACAAATTAATAGATAACTCATCTCTTTAATTTTAGAAATTTCCGTGTTTGTATCTATTATTTAAGAATGTCATAATTTAGAATCGATTTTTGTAGGTGGACTCTAAAAAATGCAAGAGTTGGTACTTTTGTTATTTCATTTTATATAATTTTGTTGTTCCTTGCATGCCATGAGCATGACTTGAACAAGGCATTGGATTTCGGAGTAAATTCTTAAATTGTGATGAAAAAAAAAGTTTTTCTACAAGGGGGTAATTTTTTAAGTTAATTCGAGGATTATGATCTTCGCATTTGTGAAATGCAAGCAAATGCAAAGGTCAATCTCTCAGGAAAAAAGGAAAAATAGCTGGCATTTGGCAAATGCGAGCTGAGTTACCTTGCATTTGTCGAATGCGAGGTACGCAATCCGAACACAAAGCCCTCCCAATTACGCATTCAAATCTGTCTCACTCTCTCTTCACTCTCTCCATCCAGCTCACTCCTCATTGAGGTACTTTTGTTATTTCATTTTATTTAATTTTGTTGTTCCTTGCATGCCATGCGCATGACTTGAACAAGGCACTGGATTTTGTTGAAGTAAATTACGCTCTGACAAATACTTTGGGATGACATTGTCCGTTTTGCTTTGTTTTGGTCTTTCGCCTCCCTTTCTACTTCAGCTAAGAATCTCAATCAATGTGTTTGGATTGAGATAATTTAAAACAAAATAATTTACTTCATAAATTTCAATCATCTTTTTATCTTTTCAATCACCTTTTTATCTCACATACATTATATCATAAAAAGTGTTATAGTAATTATCTCAAATAAATTATCCAAATAAACTCTTATCCAAACAAATTGTCTGGGAGAAGCAGCGAAAAAATTTCTCTACCACACACGAAGATTATTCAATTTGTAGACCCTCAACGCCTAAAAAAAGTTAAAACTCTCGAAACTAGAGACACTTTCTTAGACTTTTCTCAAAGTATTTCTAGCGTCTCATTTAGGTCGTCAATATTTCTAAATACTCTCCCAATTTCTATATTCGAAAACTACAAGTTATTATTGTTTCATGTCTACAACAGTCAGTCAGTCAGTCTACTACATGACTTGTCCACTTCATCCAACCACTTGGTAGGAAGGACCAAACAGTTGCTGTTGACTTACTTTCTAAGTCTATAATTTTAAACTCGCATTTTAGTACCCTGCATCATGTCTACTCTGCAAGGACCGGAAGACTTTAGTCTCCTCGTATAAATACTAGGGAGATGGACAAAGATAGAAAAGGTTTCAAATCATAAATTACAGTTCTGAAAAAAAAAATCATAAATTACAGTAACCACTTTTCTTTAAGCTATACTTGTTCACTATTAATATCTGTTGCAAATAATAAATATCTTTCGAGATAAGACAAAATTTGTTTGTCTATAATATTGATAGGGCGTCGAGCCTATGCAATAATAATAATAATAACCTAAATACCACTAAAATCAGTCAATAATTAATCCTAGATACTGGAGCAGGGACTCTAGGTGTGCAATGGGTTACTTGATTTACCCTGTTCCCGAAGAGTTTGCTTAATCCGATTTACTAGAATTAATTAGTTGACAAAAATTACTGAATAGTAGACAGTGGCAAGTAGGGTCGTCTCCTCAGGAACTGGGGATATTTGTCTCTTTTAAATTCCAATTGGTAAGGGGGGATTTCACCGGAATGAAACTAAAAACAATTAAACAATTCAACTAAAAATGAATAATTAACTGGCACGAATATAGCAGGAAGTAAATCAAGAATAAATAAATTCTAGCTAAGGATACAACTACTCAGACACAGTCCATTTATCCGATCATTGATGCAAGAGAGGTTCACTTAATTTATTAATAGGCTAGTTATAGTCGCCGATGAACTCTAACAACCAATTTTTCCTTAATTTATTGATAACCAAGGTACGACCATTGATCACCCCTAACCAGAAAATACTCCTAGGTACGACCGTAGGAATTAATTTCCCAATTGCATTAATAACTAGAAAAACCTATCCCTAATCAATAACACGCTACGAGGGTTATTTAAATTAAATTGCACGTTCCCCTAATGTGTAAACATATCAGTTGCCACTAATATTAATCAATCAAATACGGATTTAATTGACTAAATTTGCACGAGATTAATAAATCACATTGAACATCGGGCCCTTGACATCCAATTAATAAAATAATCCCATCAAAATTCAAGCAGACAACGTGCAAATATTAATAAATTGAGGAACGCGTGAAAACTAATTAGATCTCACAGATTTTTGGGACTGCACTGTCGAGTTGACCCTTGACTAGATGGAAGGCTTAGCCACGCCGCATAAATAAATCTCTACGCAAATTAATGGATTCCAAAGACATTGCGTTTTTTACTAGAAAGCAAGGAATCAAAGATGTTTTTCCTGTCGAACACCTGGCGTGTGTTAAAGGCCAGTCAGAAGAAAGAAAACTAAAAACAATGCTAAAGGCTAAAACTTCAGCCGCCTGTACGTTTCTTCTTGTCTATTTAAGAGCCAAAAGAAAGAAACTAATCTAATCTTCAGTGGTCCCCACCCAACTGGTAGTCAAAGCTACCCAAAAGAAAAGCCTGCCGAATTGCTTATTGTTTCAAGTCTTGTACGTTTCTTTCTTTGAAGAGCTAAAATGACTAAATATCTTTCACTAGTTTTGTGGTTCCTACCGATCCAAGGGCCCAAGGATTGGAGCCCTTAAAAGTCTCCATTTTGTCCAGAAAATCCCTCCTTTTTGGTAGTTTTCTGCTTCATTCCCTGAAATTAAGTCCAGATATCAAATATAAATGGATATCAACAATTAACACAATATTTGGCAGGGATAAAAGGGAAAATTAATAATAAAATTACTAACAAATGATACCCTATCAAATATACACTAATATAACGGACTAATTAGAACAACAAAGCGTATTTTAAAATGTGAAGAATGATTTTCTGCAGTAAATCAATCCTTTACGTGATGTTGCACAGCTAGAATTGTTATGATTCAGGAATTGTATCTTATAGTCAATGATCAAAAAAATTTTCAAAGTTTTGTTTCATGTGAATAGGTATTTACATAAGAAGCGCAAGTGATATGATCAGAAACATTGTCTAAAGTTGAGGCATCATTTGGTGGTAAAATTTTAATGAATTTTAACCGTTAACAAGGATCTGACCGTAAGTCCAAACTCCAAAGTCAGATCAAATCAAAAGAAACTTCTCAATTCTCAAAAGTGAGTTCGGTCCTTGGATCTGGCTCGAAGCAAATCATATCCGGCGTCAAATTTAGTAAGGAAAATTTTCCTTACTTCTCAGAATAGGATCCGACCTCGAGATCTGATTTGAAGCAAATGCCAGATCTTTGAGTAGATCTAATTTTCTTGCTATCTCATTCATAGGCACCCGAATTGGGCTAAAAAGAGATGGTTTGCTGTGAGTTTACAGAGGAACTCTGTTTCTTTGTCTTCCATGGATAATCTATGGAGAGATTAACAGTTATTGATGCATACATACAGCTTCGGTAACAACTAGGTTTCCGTCCAAAAAGGATCGCCGGAGCGGAGTTCCCTTGGATTCGACCTAACTTTCACTATCATACTATAAAAATTTCTTATTTGTGATGTGGAATTAGTATTATTTTTTGGAGGTTTCGACAAGCGTCCATAGTGACTAGAAGATTTTCTAGGGCATGTTTGGGTTTGGGTCGCTTATTGAAAAGTACTTATATAATAGAACTTTTAATAAAAGTACTTATTAACTACTTAAATACTTTTAAATATATTGTTTGGAGACATAATTCAATAAATACTTATTGTATTGAATAATGTATAATTTAAAAATTTTTAAAAGTTTTTATCTCTTTATTTAGTTCATAATATAGGATAAGATGATTAAATTTGATGTTTTATTTTTTAAATCACAAAAGCTACTCTAAAAGTACAAAATTTTAGATTTTACTAAAAGTGTTTTTAATACCAAGAGCTCTGCTCCTAGTTTTATGAGATAATGTTTACCAAACACTTTAAAAGTATTTTTAGAACATAAAAGTACTTCTTTTACCAAAAGCACCGCAATCCCAAACGGGGCCTAGTTGCCGTTGTTGGCATGTCTTGCTTTTTCTTTATAAACATACGAAGTGATTGTGTAGGTGATGATTCATATGATATCATGCCCTCTGATATTAAATGAAGTCGTTTGCCTTTTTTATTCCTTGGTCAGTCAGCATTTGAATTTTTTCCTTTGTTTTCAGTTAAGAGTTGTGTTGAGCTTTAAGATTAACTTGTGAAGAGAATGATAGGAGAATGCATGAAACTTATCTCGAACAAGGTTCATATGCTGACTTGACTTAAAGATTGGACCAAGAATTGGTTGAGTCTGCCTATCACAATTTATTAAAATCCTTGAAAGGTTGACTTGGTTTTTTAGTTTCAAAATTGGCATATTTGTTTTCCAATTACACAAAGAATTGGTCAAACAGCTCTAACACTAGCTTCGTTAACTAGCTTCGTTAAAGTGACAAGTATAGAAAATTACTCCTCACTAATCTGAGATGAAATCAAGTTTCAGACAGTTCTGCAATTTCGTATACTTATGGAGATCCATTTTTTCTCGGAGCAGAGGAATAGATTTGTAAATTAAGCGTTGACTGAAAGTTTCTACATTATGGGACAATATTAAGCATGGAATAAATACGCTTATTGTATGATGTATATTATGGAAGCATAAGATCCAAGCATAGTATGGAAGCATAAAAATGTTCAAGCAGAATTGAGCCAATTGACTACCTTTCAAAACATACAATTCTTGTAAAGAAAGACTAGGAATGTATTTGAATCATCCATTCATTTTTTCAAAGAAAAAGCCTTAGATGTCTTCTTTATCAGTTCATCGAACTAGCAACTTCATCTTGTTTGATTTAGACCAGCAAGCAGCTGCAAATCAAGATTTCAAGCATTAGTACGAGCAGACATCCTTTTCCATGCTAGTGGGCACAACACATATAGTATAACTTTCTCTTGTTTCCGTTTTTTTTTTTTTTTTGGGGTCTACAATGGATTCTGAATGATAGAAACCAGTTAGCTTACAAGACTTCGTCCAAAATAAAAGAACTTATCTAAGATAGAAAAAAAATAATGAACTTCAACTTGTGGGCTGTATTAAATTCTCGAGTATACCTGTGGCTATCAAACTTGAAGATTTTCTTGATGTACCCTCACACCAAGTAAGACATCCTTAATGAGATGTAATTTTCTGACAACTTCATTCATGTGCATCCGATCATTTGGCAATTTTGCAGAGCACATCAGTCCGATTTTTAATAGGGAAATAATGCAATCAATCTCTCTTCCACCATTAATAGTTTCCTCTCCATGAGTAATTCTACTGTTTTCATCTCTTCCTTCAGAAAGAAGCAACGGGTCCACGATCTCGGAGACTTGTTCATGCAAAGCCCTGTTAACATAGTTATGTATATCTAACTCATCCATGAACATATCATCTGTTGGCCTCCTCTTTGTGATCATCTCTAGCAAAAGAATGCCGTAGCTGTAGACATCCCCCGGAGTTGATGCCGCATGACCCAGCCCATACTCTGAATTTTTGTTTCTAGATATATTATTGTTATGTTGTAAAGGAGAAGCTATATATATATATATATATAATCTAAGGAAGTAAATTAAATATAGCTGCTATGTTTAAGTACTAGTTTGTAAATAAGACTTGATTGAAATTGTTAAAATGAATCACTACACATTTTTTCCTTTTCCATATGGACTTCCGAGATTTTCTTGCCTTTTGTTTCAATAATATGTATATTTTTCTTGTTTTATACTATTATTATTTAATATTAGCTTTAATTTGCATTGCAAAGTTATGTTGACCTCTCCTATAACTGTTTAACAGAATTTTATATTCAGGAGGAAGTATAAAAAGTTTAAAAACTCTGATGGAAATTATGATAAAAAAAGAATAATGATAACCCGTGAAAGTGCCAACTTTTAAGTGCCAAACAGTAGTCTGTGCACAATTAAGTAACATTTTAACTGTAAACATTCGTAATTACCTGGAGCTGCGTAACCGATTGACCCTTTTACGGCTATAGAACTGCTGGTTCCCTGCTCGGAAGATCTGTCGTTGGGTTTTGGGAGGAGCCTTGCCAATCCAAAATCACCCACATGGGCAACAAGATCATTGTCAAGAAGAATGTTACTTGGTTTTAGATCACAGTGAACAATCTCTGCTTCGCAGTGGTCGTGAAGATATTGCAATGCTGAAGCCACATCAATTGCAATATTTAGCTTCTGAAGAAGATTAAGACTTCTTAAGCTTGTTGCTTGATCAGCTGTCTCTGCAGGATGCAACCACAAGTCCAGATTCCCATTTTCCAAAAACCCATAGACTAGAGCTTTGAATTCATCACCTTTGGAATCAATACTGGAGCAATAACTCACGATAGACACGAGGTTTCTATGGCGAATGTTTCTCAATGTTTTGCTCTCGGCCTTAAAACTTTTGGAAGCCCCATTCTTTTGAAGATCAAGAACTTTGACTGCTACAAGCTTATTGCCATGTTTTTCTAGTGTGCCTTTGTAGACAGCTCCAAAGTGTCCTGAACCAATTAAGTTTTCTGGAGAAAATCCCGAAGTTGCACGATGAAGTTCATGGTAAGAAATTCGCAAGAGCTTATTCACTCTTGTAGGCATGCTAGAGAATCCGGCCACCAGTCTTCTTTCTCTTTTTCGATATACCAGGAGATATAACAACACTGTACCAAGAACCATAAGCGTTGCCGATAAAACAATGGACAGCAATATGATAACCTTCAGCTTTCCTCTGTTTTTCCCCTTAATCACTGAGCAAGGTGGGAACTCCAATTCCGGAATGCCTCCACAGAGTTTGTTGTTGCCAATCAATGACATTTGACTTGCATTGCTGAAAATCCCTGTGTTTGGTACCTCTCCCTCGATGTCGTTGTAGGAAAGGTTCAAGTACCTCAAATATTGAAGCTTCTCAAGTTCCTTTGGTATTGATCCAGTCAAGTTATTACTTGAAAGGTCTATTTGCTGGATGCTCTTCAAAGAAGCCAAATTTGGTGGAATTGTTCCTTGGAAAAAATTGGCCTGCATGGAAAGATTCGCCAGAATTGAACAATCAGCAAGTGATATGGGTATATCTCCAGCAAATTGGTTGTGGGAAACATTGAAATCCACCAAATGTATAAGCTTTCCAACTTCAGGAGGCAGAGAACCACTAAATGAATTTTCACCTATTTTGATGTACATCAGTGATGAGTGCGTCTGCAAAAATTGTGGTGATATAATTCCAGTGAAGTTGTTATGAGATATATCCAGATATTGCAAATTTTGACATCTCATAAGAACATTGTCAAATATATTGCCCCCTTCAAACTTGTTAAATGATAAGTTCAGATGGTATAGACCTGTGGCATTGCATAGGGTGGAGACTATCTGTCCTGACAACTCATTTTGGTCCAGACGCAATCTTTGCAAATCTTGTAATTTGCCAAAATCTCTTGGAATGACCCCTGTAAGATGGTTTTCTTCAAGGGTAAGGAGATATAGGTTGACAAAATTTCCAAATCCTTCTGGAATAGTTCCTGACAGTTGATTTGTTCCCAGGTACAATTTAGTGAGTTGATTTGATAGATTGCCCATGACTTTTGGTATATTACCTCCAAAATTATTGTAACTCACGGAAATAACGCTTAGATTACTGCAGTTGGTCAGTGATGCAATAAAGTCCAAGTCTTCCGTAGAATGACTGCCGAAGAGATTGACAGCAAGATTTAGTAATTGAAGATTTGTCAGATCTCCTAAATTAGTTGGAATTTGGCCTTTAAACTTATTTCTGGAAAGATCAAGTTCCTCAAGCCCAGAAGCATTGGTGATTGAAGTTGGAAAGTTTCCATAGAACTTGTTTGACGAAACACCTAAAATTTTCAGATTTGGTAGGGTGAGACCTATGTTGGTTGGGAGACTGCCATGAAAGGAATTGCCGGCCACTGAAATGACAGTAATGGCTGAACTATTAAAGATAGAGGCAGGGATTATACCAGATAGATTATTTTCTGCAGCTCCTAACCCAGCAAACCTTTTTAAGAGCCCCATCTCCATGGGCAGATTTCCCTCCAGATTGTTGAAATCGAAAGCGAGTCGAGTCAGCGATGATAAGTTACCAATGGAGGAGGGAATCTTTCCTGTCAAATTGTTTACAAAAAGAACAAGTCCTTCAAGCTTCTTCAGACTGCTTAGCTGATCAATCGGAATTTTCCCTTCTAGCTTGTTGTCATGCATGCTAATATTTATCAACTCTGTGCAGTAGCTCAGGTTTGCTGGGATTTCTCCACCGATCGCGTTACTTGAGAGGTTCAGGCCTCTCAGCCTGAAGAGGCGACCGAATTCTTGGGGAATCTCACCGTGGAATTGATTCTCCTCAAGATGGATGAACCTCATGAAGCTTAGATTTCCGACATGAGGAGATATGGTTCCAGACAACTGCTTATGCCGTAGAGTCAAGGCTATCACCCTTTGATGTCGAGTACCACATGTGACTCCTTCCCACTGGCAATGGTGTTGTGAATGGTTCCAGGACTTCAGCACTCCAGACGGGTCATTGTATATCTGCTTCTTGAATTCAAGCAGAGCAAGACGATCAGTCTCATTTTGAAATTGTTTAGAAGCTGAAACATGGCTTACTGAAAAGATCATGGCAACTAAGAGAAGGAGAAATATGTTCGCTAATGTTGATGATGAGCGAAATCCCCACATGGTATTGGGAACTTCAATGAGCTGTTGGATGCGAATTGGGAACGTGGTTGAGCTGTTACGAGTTCTTGCGGTTCTGCTTATATAGCCCACACAATCTACTGTGATCTTCTGCATTATGGAAAGGCACAATTAGAAGTGAAATTCCTAATGTTTTTGCATTATGGATAATCCATTTGACTAATTAATTTTCACCTCCGCTTCATTAACTAAAAAATTATAATCAAATTAAAAGTTGTCTTCAGCCAATCTATCATTGCTACTTTATTGAGCCAAAATAAGTGCATCTCTGTAAAATTTTATCGAAGTGGATAGTAGCGATTTATCCAAAAAAAAAACAGGCATTTCGCGAATTATGCGCTTTCCAATGGGATCAATCTGAAGTGCCAGTTTAAAGGTCTTCTTACCAAGTCAAAAAATATGTACTGTGCAATGTCTTAAATCTTAATGACTATGCCATTGTTTAGACCTGCTTGTACAAGAAGTTAACTCCGTAGTCATCTTCCAGAGATGATGATTGACAGGAACCCTTCTTTTGTGTGCAATACTTGATCTTCCCAATTAACACAAACCACAAGAACGGTGATATGCTAGAATCTGTCGGTTGGCTTATGCGAGTTCTGTTCAAACCATGGTACTGGAAGAAGGGAAAATGGTTATTGGTTCTTCACATATTGCCAATTAAAAAAAATGGGTTTTATGTAGGAGTGGCAATTTTCGATACGATTTGAAAATACAACACGAACCTAACACGAAATTAATAAGTTTCGGTTGAACTTCGCAGGTTCGGATTAGAATCGAGTCGAACACAATGAATTCGAAAAGAAAATAGGTCGAATTCGAGTTAATCCATGGATGACCCGATAACCCGTTTATGAATTAAAAATAATTTAATAAATATAAAAAATATTTTATCTAACTAAACTAAATTATTTGAACTGTCATTTTTTGTCAAAAATTTTTTACGTTTTTTATGATTAATTTTTCAAACTTTTTTTTACTTTATATATATTTAATTACTATAATATATTTTTTTTATAAAAAAATCCTAAAAATAGTAATCGAAACACGGCGGCGGTGTTGTGTGATTTCTTTTCATTGGTTGAAAACAAACACGTGATGATCGAGATCGTTCAGGAAACTTGTGATTGTGAAGGTGCTTATCTGCCTTGAATGCGTCAGAAGGTGATTGACATTTGTATTCTTCTGCACTACACCCCGTTAATCTCCAACTCTTGTTGCTTTTCACTTACCTTGCTCTGCGTGCAAAAAGTCTCCTCTGGTAGTCTGAAGACGCAAGGGATGAGGGCCCTCGATTAAATCCTAGATCAAATTACCAAATTTGATATCCTGTGCAATGTCTTAAATCTTAAAGACTATGGGCCATTGTCTAGGTCTGCTTGTACCAGGTCAAAAAAGATGTAGTGTACAATGCCTTAAATCTTAAAACACTATGTGCAAGTGAACTCCGTAGTCATCCTGCTGCTTATTGTGATCATCTACCAGAGATGATGATTAACAGGAAGCCTTCTTTTGTGTGCAATACTTGATCTTCCCAATTAACACAAACCACAAGAATGTTGATATGCTAGAATCTGTCAGTTGGCTTACGCGAGTTCTGTTCAAACCATGGTACTGGAAGAAGGGAAAGTGGTTATTGGTTCTTTACAGATCGCCAATTAAAAAGAAATGGGTTTTACGAATGATGACAGACATGAATTTGGAAATCAGATCATAAATCTAACACGTTTCTTTACGAATGGGTTCATTTTTTTACCATTCCATTTTTTTTAAAGAAATCGTTCTTGAGATGATGGAGAGTAAAAGCCTAATTTTTCCAAATTACATTTCAATCTTCCCGGAGACTAGGAACCTTGGCTTAGTATTAGGTCTAATCCCAAAAAATTGACCAATAAGAATAATAGGATTTTTGACAATTTAACAATGACAATGACAAAACAAATAAATCAAACAGAAAGAAACAAAATTTTATGTGGTTTGGTCAAATTGATCTACGTCCAGGGGTGAAGGGGTATCAAATTTACTAAAACATAAAGAAAGTTAGAGAGAATACAAAATTCTAGAAAATAATTTCTGAACTCGAAAGACACCTAAAACTGAAAATACAAAAGAACCTAACTAACATTAAATGTTTAACGGTCCAAAAGCCTATAAGTTGCTCTTTTGATTTGATGCCTAAACAAAATCTCTCTTAGATTGGATCATGGGCCCCTTAAAACTCTCTTAAATTGGTGCATACAACACTTGGGATAGTACCTTTAGTGCAGTTAAACTCATTTAAATCCATTATATTTATAACTAGCAAGGGGAGAGATTTCTTCGTTAAATTTCCTAATATGAGATACAAAGATAAACTCAACAAATCTCTATCTTGGCATGCATCCAACATCGGTAAATTGCAAACAAATGGCAAATAAACTCCACATTCTCCATAAATGTCCCAATGGATCTCAACGAACCACCAAAGTTCCAACAGATCCCAATGAGCCACCAACGAATTAGGATGCAAAAAACTCAATGGATTCCAACGGATCAAAACTCACAAAACGTTCAACAGATTCCAACAAGCTAAAAATCACGAACATAGTTATCTTACTCCACCTTCTTCACAAAACCCTCAACGAGTTCCAACGGGTCAAATAACTTTTCTTCAAAACCCAAATGAACTCCAATAAAAATTTTTTCTTCACTTTTTTTAGTGATCAAAATTTGTTATTGTCATCAAGAACCCAAAACCTGAAACTTTGATACCAATTTGTTAAGTCTGATTCCAGAAAATTGACCAACAAGAATAATAGGGTTCAAAAGGATAGTAGATTTATTATAACATAAAGAAAATACAAAAGAGAGAGTATAAAATCCTAGAAATTAATTTTTAGGCCTGAAAGGCATCTAAAACTGAAAACACAAAAGAGTCTAACTAGCACTAAATATTTAACGGTCCAAAGGCCTATAACTTGTTCTTTTGGTTTTATGTCTAACCAAAACCTCTCTTAGATTGAGGCGTGGACCCCATAAAACTCTTTTGATTTAGTGCATACCTCACTTGGATTGTTACTCTTAGCACACTTAAATTCAATTAAACCCACTATATTTATAACTACTAAGAGGAGAGATTTCTTTGTAAAATTCCCGAATGTGGGATATAAAAACAAACCCAACACTTAGCAATGAGACCAAGTCTTGAATCACTCGTTTACACTGCTTTTTCTTCCGCCTGTGCATTTACTTATCCATTTATATTTTTTCTTTGTTGTTCATTTTTTATTTTTTCCTTTTCATTGAATGATATGACGCATTTTTGTTATATATTTTATAATTAATTTCCTTGTATTATTCTATCAAATATGCATTAATTGGCGAATTCTACTCACTTTTGAAACTTTGTATTTATTACAAGGAATGGAACAAAATATCATAAAAAGGTGTCAATTTGACGATAGTTAACAGAAGAGATTGAGTGATAATAGGAGACATGAGACCAATTGAAGACAAAATTGAAGATTGTTTCCTTATCTGATAATGAAAGTACGGCGGATTAGTAGCAGTAGGACTCTTTCCTTTTATTTTCTCTTGGTAGCCGTATAGGAAAAGAAATTAGGGAGGAAAAATAGTAGCCATTCTTGACTCCTTTTTGCTATTGACTTTTTCATCTTTTAGGGGCTATTGGTTCCATCGTATGTGAGAACCAAGTAGAGACAACTAGTCATCTTTTGACTTTGTAGCTTTTGACATTATTCTTAATTCCATCGAATTGAATCATCTCAATTGAGAGACGATGTACGCAGCAATTGCTTCTACAATTTTGCATGGGTTTTTCTCAACGGAGATGAACTAAGTCTATACTTCTAGTCAAGGAACAACAGAGGATTTAGTTCGACTTAAATTGTGAGATCTAATTGATTTTAGTTTTCCTATTATTTTCTGGTATTCGTATATTTCCTACTTTATTTTCTTATGGTTGTTATATTATTTAATTTTTCTGGGCCCGAATGTTAGATTAATTCAATAACCTAGAGCCAATTAGAATAATTAAATCCGTAATTATTTGATTGTTCTAAATTAGTGGCAACTGGTATAATCGGGGTTATGTCAGGAAAATATACGGCTTAATTTGTAAGCAACCCTCGTATCGTATTGTTTAGTTAGAACAGAGTTTCTCTTAATGTTAAAGCAATTGTGAAATTTAATTTTACGGTCATACCTAGAATTATTTTCCAATTAGGGCAATAGCTAACGGTCGTATCTTAACTATCGATAATTACGGAGAAATTGATTGTCATCGCTTGTTTAACAATTATAACTTGTTTATCAGTTTATATGTGGAATTATTACTGTATCGATGATCAACTATGAGAACCATTACTGAAGTTGCTTCTTGATTAGAGCTGTCCAATACTATTTGAGTTATTACAATTTGCCATTTAATTTTTAGTTAATTGCAATATTCGATTAGCATAGTTTATTATTAATTTTCCTAAAATCCCCCCATAACTTGAACTTTAGTAGAAACGAATTACTCTCAATCCCTGTAGATTCGACCCTACTTGCCCTATATACAAATTAACAAGCTCTCGTGAATAAATTTTGGTATATCGGATTTAGCAAACTCTTCGGAGTCAGGGTGAATCTAGTAACCCATTGCATATCCAAAATCCCTGCTCCAATACTAGAATTGACTCAAAACTACTTTTGTTGGCAACTAAGATTATCATTATTATTATTGCACAAGCATCAACAACCTGTCATTGAACAATAAAGTCCATGAAGCCAGGTAAAACTTAGAATTAATAACAAAGTTCTTTTCATTTTCTTTTTTTTTTTTTGTTCATCAATAAAGAGAGGGTCAGTTTGTAGTCACAATCCTACTGTTTTAAATCTTGAAACATGCATTAATTATCCACTAAATCGTAAGCTCATCCTCATTTAGCAAACAACTCCGCATTCTGCAGTAAGGTCAAAGCAGAAATTCTTTCCAAGTAACGTATCACTGCTAGAGAGGTTTTTCTTCCGAATTTTGATGTATTTTTTTAAAGGTTATGACTCTTTTCCCCAATGATGATGATGATGATGATAGTAATAACCCTGCAATGAAT